AACACTGCCACATCTCAGTCTTTTTCTCCTCTACCAAAACTTTTCCAAATCTTACCCATGGGGATTAAATGCATAAAAGAAAGTCTGGCCAGTCCAGGACCTCTGCCTGGGGCTCTTTGTGGGGGGTGGGTGGATGTTGGGGGAGGTACTTTGTGGAATCCACTATCAAGAGCAGTTATCAACCTACCACCCACTACCTGCACTTGGAACAACTCTTACCTCACCAATGAGAGCACAGCCTTGTTGAGGCTCACCACTACCACCACCCATGTCACCACATCTTCAGGTGACTGCTCTCCTCCCTAGATATTTAACCTGGAGGTAGGCCAAGGACAGAAAAAGGAGATGGCAATATCCTTGAACAAAAGTAGCTATAATAGGGCGTGGGAAGTAAGGCAAACGACAAATTAAACAGACAACCTCATATGAAAAGAGGTGGAGAGGCTCCAAGGGGGTCAGAGTTCCTGCTGCGTCCTACATCCCCACCAAGCCCACCTCCCACCTAAGCAGGCAGAGAGAGCACTGGCGGCTCTTACAAGGGGAGAAACACTCCTCATTATAAACCGGACATGCTCCTGACCAAAGCCCAGCCAGCAACAAATTCTGGAGTTCATCTCATAAGCACAGTATTTTTGGCAATTTCCCAAAGGAATGAATTTTTCTGGCCATCACAGGGGCATAGGACATGAGCATGGGGCAGGGTGGGGACTTAAAAAGCAGGTAATCCAAGTTCTCATTCTATAGATGGGGAAACTGAGGCTCATAATGAGAAAGGAACTTGCTCAGGACCATCCGCAGGTGCCCCACTCAGTGGCAGCACTAACCCAAGAGTTCAAGGCTTTTGTTCTGGCACTGAGCCTTGCCAGAAGCTAAGACACATCCCCAAAAGGGGATGGTGTATCATGAACCCAATCTCACTCTTCCTGAAAAAATAAATGATCACATTTGCAGCTTCAGATGAGGAGAGGATTAACAAGTTCTCAGAAGGGGCCATTGATCTATGGCTTCTCCATCCATTTGGAAACAGAGAGAGAATAAATTAATTCCATGGGAGGATCCAGCAACTAACTTCTCTACCCCGTCAAGCACCATTGGTCTTCTTCAGACTATCTGATACTATAACCAAAACACAAAGAGGATTGTAAAGACCATTAGGGGGAAATGTGCAAATGGTGAATCTGAGCAGAGTACAGCGGTATTCGTCATACCATTCTCACATTGTTTCGGAAGACTTGAAACTTTTCTAAGTAAAAAATTTGAGGGTGAGTGAGAAAGCACTAAATAAGAACCTAAACCAAATTTTTTTTTTTTTAATTCAGAAAGGACTAAGAATCATTCCTTCAGTTTCACTCAATTTCTTTATCTTAGGACTAACATCCTCAGAGTTTAAAAAAAAAAAAGACATTGAAGAGGTTAGAGGTGTAGGGCTCCAAACAAATAGGATGCTGGTGTTCATGGTAGCCGGTAGCTATGGCAACCTTGGAATCCAATCTGATTTCAAAAATGTTGTCCCATTAGCTCCCAAAATACACATATACTTGTCATATCATGTATCCTGGTGCTCTTGATTCAGAAAGTAACTAAAGTAACAACAGGCTATGGATGGGACAAATGTCAGAATCTTTCCCCAAAAGTCCATCCCCTTTGCAATACAGTGGTTCACAAATACAATAAAATGCAGTTTAATTTCCATTCAGTTTGGAAATCCTTTCACATAAATAAATTATTGAATCAAAATCCACATCTAAGTCACAGTCAACTATGTTCTCTATCTACAGCAGTATTTAATTGGGGCCACATGGGATCCATAATCTAGCCCTGAAAATCTATCCTTGGCCACATAGAAAAAATTCATGCCAGTAGGACACCTGGATGGCTCCATTGGTTAAGCATCCAACTCCTGATTTCTTTTCAGGTCATGATCTCACAGTTCATGAGATTGAGCCCCACATCGGACTCCTGGCTGACTGGTCACAGTCACAGAAACTGCTTGGGATTCCCTACCTCCTCTCTCTCTGCCCCTCCCCCTGCTGCTCATGCTCTCTCTCTCTCTCTCTCTCTCTCTCTCTCTCTCACTCGCTCGCTTGCTCTCACTCCCTCTCAAAAATAAATAAATAAACATTTTTTAAAAATTTCATGCCAGTAGCATGGCAATCAAAGCTTGGAGATTTGAGGTAACACAGCCCATTCAAGAAACCTGAAAGAACTCCTTACGGCTAAAATAAGAGCAGAGGGGAGAATAAGCAAGGGAATATAAAGTCGGAAAGACAGGTAGAGATCAGATCCAAGAAGGCCTGTACACTCAACAAAAGAGTAGGAAGTTTATCCTTCGGGCAATAAGAAACCACTTTAAGATGGGAGGAATATAATTGGATCCTTCTGGAAGAGGATGCATAGATGGAAGTAACTCAAAACTAGGGAGTCTAGGGGTACCTGAGTGGCTCAGTCAGTTAAGCGTCTGACTTCAGCTCAGGTCATGATCTCACAGTTCTTGGGTTCGAGCCTCACATCAGGCTCTGTGCTGACAGCTCAGAACCTGGAGCCTGTCTTCAGCTTCTGTGCCTCCCTCTCTCTCTGACCCTTTCCCTTGCTCTCACTGTCTCTCTGACTCTCAGAAATAAATAAAAAATTAAAAAAAAAAAAACTAGGGAGTCTAGTTGGAATGACGAAGACCTGAACTAAGGCAGTCAGTGTGGAATGGAGAACTGAGGACAAGTTAGAGAGAGCTTCCAAAGAGAACCAATGCACAGGACTTGACTGGAAGAGGGCAGATGTGCCCTAGAGAGAGAAGCAGCAGTCCAAGATGACCTCCAGCTTTTCTGACCTAGTAAATCATGCCGCCAGTCTTCCAGATGGGAAACCCAGGAGAAGAGGAATGTAGTAGGTTTTGAACATGCTGAAGTTCCACCTGGATAGGCAGGTATGGAGCTCCAGAGAGAAGTCCAAGCTGGATATACACATTTGGGAGTAATCAACATATATATGGTGGTGGATGCCATGGGTGTGGATGAGGTCAACTGGGAAGGAATTGACAGCAAATAAGAATTGGTTTAAGAATAGAAACTCTCAGGGAGAAAGCTGTTAAGGGTAGGGAAGAAAGAAGAGACCTCCCCAAGAACACTGAGGAGTGGCTTAAGAGGCAGAGACCTCAGCCTGCTTTTAAGTGAACCACTCTACCCCTCCATCTCCACAGGCTGGTCACACCATGATAGTGTAGAGGAAATAACAATAATGTATTAAAACAAACTCTCTTCTTGAAACAAAAAGACAAACAACTCAATTAAAACACAGGCAAAGGATCTGAATAGACATTTCTCCAAACAAAATACACAAGTGGTCGAAAAACACACGAAAAGATGCTCAGCATCATTAACCATTAGAGAAATGCAAATCGAAACCACCACGAGACACCACTTCACACCCACTAGGATGGCTAGAAAGACAGATAATCACAAGTGTCAGCAAGGAAGTATTGCCACCACGTTGCTGGTAAGACTGTGAAATGGTACAGCCACTGTGGAAAACAGAGGCAGTTCCTTAAAAACTTAAACATATAGTTGTCATATGACCCAGCGATTTCAATCGTAGGTATATGGTCAAAAAAACTGAAAACATATGTCCACACAAAGACTTGTATTTGAATGTTCATTACTCGTAATAGTGAAAAAATGTAAATAACCCAAATGTCTATCAACTGATGAACAGATAAATAAAATGTAGTATACGACATAATGGAATAGTATTCTGCCATTTAAAAAAAAATGCAGTGTTGATATATGCTACAATATGGTTGGACCTGGAAAACATGCTAAATTGAAGAATCCAGACACAAAAGTCCACACATATTGACTAATTCCATTTACAGGACATAATCAAAATACAGAAATCAAGAGAGACTGAAGGAAGACTTGTGGATGCCAGGGGCTGGGGGGAGGGCAGGAAAGGGATGAGGAATGACTACTTAATCAGTACAAAATCTCTTTCTGGGGTGTTGAAAATGTTCTGTAATTAAGTAGTAGTGATGGTTGCACCACATTGTAGATTTCCTAAAAACCATTGACTAGTACATTCTAAAACTAAAAATCAATGAATTGTACACAGGTAAGATGGTGAGCTTTATATTATGTGAATCTTACCTCAAAAAAAAGAATTAAATAAGTTCACTTTACAAAACTACCCATAGCCAAGAACAGCTGGGTAAGAGATTTCTCCAGCTTGTCCAGATATTCTACATAAAGAAAAGTCCAGATATTCTAACCAAAGAAGCCAAAGGGTATGCTTCCCAAGAGACTCTTAAATATCTTTAAGTGTCCAATTTAAATAATGCCCATAGGTTGGGCGTGAGTGGTTCTACTCAAGAGCAGAGATGGACATCCAGCCTCATGATAGCTCTCCATGCCTTGTTCGGGCTGCCTCACTTGCTTTTCAGATTTCTAAATGCCAGGGTGACAGGGAGACAACTAGGCAACCATGATTTGACCTACAGAGAAACTGCAACCAGGCATGACCTGTTATAGTTATCCCACAATGACAGGAAGAGAGAAATGATTTCTGGACCCCGAGCTCCCCAAAGCCCCAGAATAGGAATCTCCCAGTTCATGGCCCTTATTCAACCCTTCGACACCTACAACCCTGGCACTGTGTTCATAATGACCTCCTGAGACAATGTTCCCAGCTGTCCCAGGATACCAGCACTCACCATACAGGCAGCTGCTTTATCCACATGGTGCCTTAGGGAGTTACTCCAAATCGCTTTGGGCTTTGGACACAAGTGAATTTGAAATTATCACAATGTATATGGTTTATACCCAGCTCAACAACATCTGCGGCAGAAGTCAAAGCCCAAAGAAGCAAGTAAGGGACAGGAGATGGACCGTGTGTGCACTTATCAGAGTACCTCCATGCCTGCGGGCAGGAGATCCCGAGGATGGAGCTCCAGGATCCCACAAAACTTCCTGAGGACAATTTCATCTCTCTACTTTCTCCTTTGACACGCTTACCTCTCTTTTTCTTCCCCTTCTCCAGCCAAATTCTGAGGGCCACCCTGGATCATAAAGTAACAGAATGCAAATACTTCGAGCTGGCACACCATTACCCCCGAGAGATTGTCAGAGCGGGAAGCAGGTCTGGAGTGAACAGCAAACTCTGTGGCCTGCTCTAGCCATTGGATAAGCAACCCTTCTTCCATGACTCCCTGCTTCTGCCTGCTCCGATGGGAAAAGGAACGCAATGAAACTAGGCTTTCCCTTGGGGTTCTGACACCTTGTGTGGAGATTATGTGCTGTTGCTATGTCTACTGTGATGTCATTCCTTTACCATTCCATTTGTGTGGGTTTCTTTTTCCCCTCTTCTCCAACGAATACCCTACTATCCAGTGCCTGGGAGCCCAACTCCAGCCCTCATCCTACCTAGACCCAGGGAAACCACTCTGTCCGGGAACCTCAGGTGACTCCACAGAGTCCTGATGGGAAAAAGAATTGGCAGAGGCTTCCAGGATGCAGGTCAGTCTATCCCTATATTTTAAGAAGAACGAAGCAGGGCATAGTGTTTTACCTTCTCCACTCAAAACTGCAAGTAGGAGAGGGCTGTATGGTTAGGTCCTATCAGCTTTATTTCATTGGTCAGAAGAAAATCACTTTTAAAGTAAAATAAATGCAAAGAAGAATAAGGATAGAGGGAAAGGTGCACAAATCTCATACTTTATCATGCACAGAGGAAGGCAAAGGAAGGGAAAAACTTTCCTAAATGGTTACTTCCCAGACTGTCCAGCCGTACATCTCTAGGGGCTCTATGACAAGGGAAAGCTTTCCTCTGGTTCCTACTGTGCACCAGGCTCTGCGCTGGGTACCGGAGTCCTAGTCCCAGCCTTTAAGAAACTAGTGACAAGATTACTGTTCACAATCACGACATCTACACAGGCTCATTCAAAAGGATTCGGCTCCACTAAAATGAGAAAGTGAGGCTCTGAAAGACCAGACCATTTGTCCTTGGCCATGAGGCTCAGTCTACAACTTGTGGGCAGGGAGTGCGGCATGGGCAGGCCTTGCCCCAAATCCTCAGGTGAAGGCAACAGCCGGCTGCATGCTTTCTCCTCGTTCTGTCTTCCCCTCCCAGGCCCTGTGGGGTTTCTGCGGGCAGTGAACGAAGGCAGCAGGCAGTGGGTCCAGTTCCAGCTGCTGCAGCCTCACCAGGGGATTGGCCTCCATCTGCCTCAGACAGCGGGCAGGAGGGCCCAGGGAGGCCTTCCCTGCAGCCAGCCCACCCTCTGCAGCCAAGTTCACCTTTATGTAATGGCCCTGCTCCTGGAAGTCACAGATGTCACCGTGAAGACATAGCCCCCTGTAGAAAACAGACTAGAAATATCCAGACTTGTTTCATAAACATGGCAATGACTCTTGGTATCAGCAGCGCCACGGTCTGCAGCCAAAACCTAACACACAGAACTGGTGTTGTCTTTCTAAATATACAACGCACTTCTGACTGTTTAACCAAACATATGATATATCATCTATTGTTTTCATCGTAAGCAAGAGAAAAATCTGATCCCCATTTTGTGAATGAGGAAACCAAGGCCAAGAAGAGAAGTGGGTCACAGGTGACATCAACTGGCAGAGCTGAGCTTTTTATCTTAAATACTCACTTCGGGGCACCCTTGGCAACAGCACAAGCCCTCGGTGCTTTGGGCGGAAGTCACAGTACCAGGCCACCAAACCAGCCACCACTGTTAATTCTTTTGTGTTTAGTGGGTTGGGGCGGGGGGGATACAGGGGAGGGATGAAAGGAGAGGTGGGAGAGAGAGCCCCACGAAAGCCCAAGCATTTACTCCCAAACTGGCCGCCGAGACTGTTCAGGGGCCAGATGTCAGATGTGGTAAAACTATCCTCCTCCTTAACAAGCCAGCCTGCCTTTCACCTGTCCTGAGGTGGGTGTCCACGTGCCCTACTTTTCCAGGCAGCCCTGCTCCCTTGGGAACGGAGGTCGGAACAGGCTGCTCTCCCTCAGCCAGGTAAGAAGCTTTGCCATCCAAAACCAGGCCAACAAGAACACACAGGAAACATTCACTGGACCGGGGCTTGGTTGGGTTTCGCAGCAAAAGCTACATTTTAGGACCCACACCTGTGAGAGGGGACCTCCCAGAAATCTCGGTGTGGATCGAAGCAGGCCAGCCTGATCACCCCACTAAACCCCAGGCTGTGAGGGAAATCTGAAAAGCAGAAGTTCTGGAATCAGATCTGAGCTTAAATCCCAGCAACACTCACTCACTATGTGGCCTTCCATTGCTTGCCCCTCGGTTTTCCTCATCTTGAAATGGGGATGAAAATATCTAACTTCAAGAAAATATGAAGATGCCAGCACATTCTAAGCACTTCAAGATGGTAGCTACAATTATCGGTTTACCAAAGGCAGCGGTGTGTCTGTGCTCAGACACCCGCACATTTTCCTGGAGTCTCTTCTGACCAACGTCCTTCACTTTCAACACAACTGACTTGGGGGTGAAGCCTTCAGCCACAGAGCTGAGCTCTCACTCTTGCCAAGCTAACTGACCCATATAGGGTTCACAGGTCTATTATTTTTTTTTTATGTTTACTTTTTTTGAGAGAGAGAGAGAGAGAGAGAAAGAGAGCAAGGGAGGGGCAGAGAGAGAGAGAGGGAGACACAGAATCTGAAGCAGGTTCCAGGCTCCGAGCTGTCAGCACAAAGCCTGACACGGGGCTTGAACTCACAGACCTCGAGATCATCACCTGAGCCAAAGTCAGACGCTTAACTGACTGAACCACTCAGGCGCTCCTTCACAGCCCTGTTCTTACTAGAACAACTCTTTTGTTTGACTTTTAAATTTATGCATGTACTTTTTATGTATTTGTATACATATACATGCATATATATATACAATGTATTCAAATGGCATTTTTTCACATGTTATTTTGCTATACCTTGTTCTCCCACATGAGCACCGCCATCCTCAGTCCTGCTTTCCCCAGGTAGCATCTGAGCAGGCTCCAGACTCCAAGCTGTCAGCACAGAACCTGACATGGGGCTCAAACTCACAAACCATGAGACCATGACAAAGACCAGAGTTGGACGCTTAACCGACTGAGCCACAAAGGCGCCCCTGGAAGACCACTTTCTGACCAGACAAAATACCAACCTCCAGGATATGAAAGTCACCCATCAAAAGGACCTCATGATGAGCTTTCAATATAGCCACTCATCCTTAACACTCCTCTTCGAAAGGACCCCCTGCTTCCAGAAGGGCAAATCCCAGGTAAGGACCTGGCTCCAGCCACCAGTTTTTCCAGGATTCTACGGTGTCAAGTCACCTTTGCAGGCCTTAATTTTCCCATCTGTAAAATAAAATAATAACAGCCTGGTGCTGCAGGATCTGAGAGTCCTTGTGTGAGTGCTTCCTTTTTATGAGGAAGCAGTATGTGAAGTAATATTTTTGCTGTTATTCTATGGGATGTTGTTTCCAGCTTGTGTTTGGGGGTCACAGAGGGGAGGGCAAGTCAAAACGAACAGATTCGATTAAATTCCTCCTAAGACTCAGAGGTCCTTATTTATAAGGTTTCTGAGGCTGGACAGGAAGGCCTTCTGTCCCTCTACGTTACCAAAGCACCTTGCACCATGGCTGTTTACAAACAAAAGCCAGAGCTAGACTGAGGGACTTTTGACTCTCCATTTGCCCAGCTATTTCGAATTCCAAAGAAGGGCAACTACAACTGAAATTATGGGATGAGCGACCCAGCAAGCAAATTTGAGGAAATTAGTAATCTCACAGATGTTTGATTTTTACTCAAAACTTCCTAAACTCTACATCTCATTCAATAAAGGGTGTGAGGAGTATTGGGAGGGTGGGAAATGGCTTTTTTTTTTTTTTACAAGGGATGTGGTGATTAGTATTTCCTGTTCTTGAAAACAAAGCAGGGGCGCCTGGGTGGCTTAGTCGGTTAAGGGTCCGACTTTCGCTTAGGTCATGATCTCGCAGTTCGTGGATTCGAGCCCCGCATCGGGCTCTGTGCTGACTGCCAGCTCAGAGCCTGGAGCCTGTTTCAGTCTGTGACTCCCTCTCTCTCTGACCCTCCCCTGCTCACGCTGTCTCTCTCTCTCTCTCTCTCCTAGAAATAAATAAATAAATAAAAACATTTAAAAAAGAAAAGAAAAAAAAGCAGACATTTTGGGGGGGTGGGAGAGGAATTCTAAACCTTCCAGTTCAGGTAGCAGTTCCATTTCAAGAGCCTCCGCACAAAGAGGCAGTTCCAGGAACTCAAGTGAATTTGTCCGGTGGCCGCACGGTTCACACGCATGAGAGGGGAGAAATAGGAATGGCAAAACGACAAAACCAGTGCAGGGTTATTCTGCTTTAAAACCCAAAGCAAATCTGAATACAGAATCATTTTCTTCAACAAAATCAAGCGGATGATTGGCACCCCTCTCCGGAAGAGCCTCTGGCAGCATTTGCTGAATACACGCCCACCCCATGACCTCGCTATCCTACTGGCAGGTATGTGCACGTACACTTCAGGCCCCCAAAAGCCAGGTGCCAGCATGTTCCTCGCAGTGAGATTCATAGATGTCGCCAGGCAGAAACTGCCACATGGCCATCAAGAGTAGAACAGGCACGGGGTGCCTGGGTGGCTCAGTTGTCTAAGCGCTGGACTTCGGCTCAGGTCATGATCTTGCGATCTGTGGGTTCAAGCCCCACATCAGGCTCTGTGCTGGCAGCTCAAAGCCTGGAACCTGCTTCGGATTCCATGTCTCCCTCTCTGGCCCTCCACCGCTCATACTCTGTCTCTCAAAAATAAACATTTAAAATTTTTTTAAAAAGAGTAGAACAAGCAGAGAAATGGTCTACTCACCCGACGGAATACTACACGGCAGAACAGCCTACTGCTACAGTCAACACTATGGATGAATCTCATAGTGTTGAAGGGGGAAATCCAGACACAGAAGTGGACATACTAGAACATTCCATCAGGTGGGGTCAGAGCCAGGAGAGTCACCCTTGGTGGGGCTGGGAAAGGGGTGAGGTAGTAACTGGGAGGGATACAGCTGGGCTTCCATCCTGTTGTTTCTTAATCTGGGTGTTGAGGACACAAAGAAATTCAACTTGTCAAAATGCATTCAGCTGAACACATTGTGTACCTTTCTGTGAGTATGCTATACTTCAATATTTAAAACTTTTTAAAAAATAAGTCAATGAGCAAAAATAAAGGTGACTACAAATAAAGTAATCAGGCAGGCAAAGCTCCTGGAGCCAGGTTGTATCTGGTGTGTATCATTCCCCGGAGCTCTCCTGTCGATGCGAAGACCAGACAGACTAGCTGAGCGTGCAGGACAGACATTCTGTGAGAAGAGATGAAAGCAGAACAGAGAACCTGGCGCTTTCTTTGGAAAAGAGCAGTTTCACCAAATCTAGACGTGCAGCCTCCACTCAGGTTATTAATCCAATGTGCTATCTGTTACAGATGGACCCATGTTTGCTCCAAAAATATTCAGGGTT